GCCCAGGAGGGGAGTAGGGAGTTTACATTAGCCTTTTCATTTCCAAATGAAGTCACATTAACCTCTTCATTCCCAAATGGAGTTACAGTAACCTTTTTAGCAGCCGAAAACCATATATTCCCTTCTCATTCTCCTGCTTTTCCCTAGCTTGTCATGCATTCTTTCTAAAAATTGGGAGTTTTTTAAAACGCCACAGGACATGGGACAAATTGTTAAAAATCAGGACTGTCCTGCCAAAAAGGGGACGTCTGGTCACCTTAGTCTAAGGCCTCATAGCCTCCTTTTCAGGGGGCCTCAACTGTTTCTTTTGCATAATTCTAAATTATTATGCCATGGAAAATTATGCCTAGCTACTCATTCATTTGTTAATGAACTGTCTTAGTTCATTAAGTAAAGAGGCATAAACTGAGTGGCTTATAAACAACAGAAACTTCTTACAGTTTTAGAGGCTGGGATATCTGACCTGAAGGCATTAGCAGATTCAGTATCTGGCAAGAGTCCTCTTCCTCATAAAGGGCACCTTCTAGCTTTGTTCTCGCGTGGTTGAATGGGCTAGCTAGCTCTCTGGGGCTTTTTTCAAGAGGTCTCACTGTGTTGCCCAGGCTGGAGTGCAGTGGAGTGGTCATAGCTTACTGGAACTTAAGACCTCTATGATCCTCCTGGCTCAGCCTCTCAAGTCACCAGGACCAGAGGCATGTGCCACCACAACTGTTTTGTTTTTTAAGGTAAAAGGTCTTGTTATATTGTCCAGGTTGGTCTGAAATTCCTGGCCCCAAGTGCTCCTCCTGCCTCAGCCTCCCAGAGTGCTGGGACTGTGTCATCACATATAGTCAGCTCCCCCAGTCCTGCTTTCTACTCCCACACTGGGGATTAGGTTTCAACATTTGAATTGGGTGAGGAACATTAAGGTTTATAGCATGAATCTTTGTGTTTCTTAGCCTTGGCACTTGTGACATTTTGGGCTGGATAAGTATGTGTTGGGACAGAGGGGACATCCTGTGCATTGTGGGGTCTTCAGCAGCACCCTCACCTCTACCCACTAGATGCCTATGACATACTCCCCTTCCCAGTTGTAACCACCAAGTGTCTCCAGACTTTGTTAAATGTCCCCTCAGGGGCAAAAATTCCCCTCATTTGAGAAACACTACTTTAAACAAATTAAGAAAGAATGTCACATATATACTTCTGAATCTGAATAACCACTGGCAGAGATGATGATTCAGAGGCCATCTGGGTCTCCTCACGAGCCCTTGTTTTTCCTATACAAAAATAAGCCTGACGGTCACAGCCCACTGTGACTCATGTTTCAGTAAGTCAAAAGGAAGGTTCTATAAAATGTATATATATAAAGCTTAAGTAGCATCAGTGGCAGTGTAAGAGGGATCAGGGATATATACAAACTAAGATAGCTAACAGGCAATTAAAATTCAAACCAGGTTTTCATGTATGAAAGGCATTAAATATCTGCCTACGATAAAATGAAAATTAGAGTCCCCTCTGCCTTTCAATCCCAAAAAGTGAATGAATTTTTTTTTTGAGACAGTCTCACTATGTCACCCTTGGTAGAGTGTCGTGGCATCACAGCTCACAGCAACTTCAAACTCTTGGGCTTCAGTGATTCTCTTGCCTCAGCCTCCAAAGTAGCTGGGACTTACAGGCGCCCACCACAACCTTTTCAGCAGCCGAAAACCGTATATTCCCTTCCCATTCTCCCGCTGTTCAGTTATTTATAACGCCCAGTTATTTCTTTTTTTGAGATGGGGTCTTGCTGGTCTTGAAGCTGTGAGCTCAGGGCAATCCACCCACCTTGGCCTCCCAGAGTGCTGAGATTACAGGTGTGTGCCACCATGCCCAGCCTGAACTTTAATGCCTTACTTATTAGGTGTTTGTTCTCTCAACACCTAAGAGTTCTGAATTGAGTGCAGTTCCTATCAGTGTTTCTTCCTGATCATACCTGAATCAGGGATATTTAGAGATGAAATTTACTTACTTGAGGTAGGGTCTTGCTCTGTCACCTGGGCTACAGTGCAGTGGAGTCATCATAGCTGACTGCAACCTCCAACTCATGGGCTCAAATGATGCTCCTGCCGCAGCCTCCAGAGTTGCTGAACCACAGGCACCACCACACCCAGATAATTTTTCTTGTTTTTTTTTAGAGACAGGATCTCGATATTTTGCTCAGGCTAGTCTCAAACTCCTGGCCTCAAGCAATCCTTCCACCTCAGCCCCTCAAGTGCTAGGGTTACAGGCAAGCACTGTCTTACCCAGCTGAAATTTATCTGTTTCACCTGTGATATATTACACTGTAGTGAATAATATGCACTCTACTAGTAATTGGATAAGACTTCCATCTAAATGCCCTTGAAACTCTTTTAAGATTCTACTGCAATTGGCAGAATGAGAGACAATTGAACATTACAGGTACATAACAATGTGCTTATAGCAAATTAGAATATCATATTTAATCCTGGAAGACTTTCTCATAGTGTATGACCTAGACATTTAAAGTGGGATTTATGTAATTGTAGTGGACTATTCCAAGATGAAGTATAAAGAAGTGTTACCACAGTTTATATGGCAGATGGTCCTATTGTGGGAAACGTAGTCAGGGACTGAAATTAATGTTACAGAAATGCTACTCCAGTTGTCTGCTGTATGACTGTACAATGGAAAGCTACAAAAATGGTTAAAAGCATCTAAAAAATAAATTCCCAACTCTGATTTTTCATTTATTAAAAAGGTTGGTTATATTTATGAATAGAAAAGCAGCATTACATTAAGTCGTCATTACACTGAGTAGTCAACTTCTTTAATATAGAAGTATATTATACTGAAGATAGAGTATACTGTTTGGCTGTTACTCAGGACAGAAAGTTTTAAAATATATACCTTTAGAAGATGCAGAAGTTTTTTTTGTTTGAGATAGTCTCTCTCTGTTGCCCTAGGCTAGAGTGCCATGGTGTTAGCCCAGCTCCCAGAAACCTGAAACTTCCGGGTTCAAGTGATCCTCCTGTCTCAGTCTCCTAAGTAGCTAGGACTACAGGTGCCTGCCACAATGCCTGGCAGCTTTTTCTATTTTTAGTAGAGACAGGGTCTCACTTTTGCTCAGGCTGGTCTTGAACTCCTGACCTCAAGCCATCTTCCTGCTTCAGCCTCTCAGAGGGCTAGGATTACAGGAGGGAGCTACCACACTCCACCCAGAAAAAGTTTTAAAATTAGTCTTAAAATATAACTGGAATTTTCCAGCACAATCAAAAGATGACCTTCATTTTTTTTTTTTTTTTTGAGACAGAGCATCACTTTGTCACCCTGGACAGAAGGCCATAGCATCATAGCTGATAGGAACCTCAAACTCCTAGGGTCAAGCAATACTGCTGCCTTAGCTTCCTGAGAAGCTGGGACTACAGGCACCCGCCACAACGTCCAGCTGGTTTTACTAATTTTAGTAGAGACGAGTTCTCTCCTGCACAGGCTGGTCTCGAACTCCTGAGCTGAAGCAATCCACCTGCCTTGGCCTCCCAGAGTGCTAGGATTACAGGCATGAGCTGCTGTGCCCAGCCTGAACTTCACTTTTGATTTCAAATTAATATTATTTTGCTAGGATCCAAACAAGAGTTTTCACCAGCACATTTTGGATAATCTTTTGCTTCTATTTGTAGATCAAACGTAATTCTGTCAATTATTACTCCAGTCATACAGGCAGATGTTCTAATGGATAATCTATTAAGGTAAATTGATGTCAGCAACTGTTATTCTGTTAAAGCTTGCATCAAACTTCAAATACTAGTTACATTTTCATAATTTTATAGGTGACATAAACATATGTGTGTTGGGTTACTGAAGTCATACTTCAGTCCCTCGGGAGAGTTCACTTATTTGCATTTCCCATATGGACTGGTATTATTATATTTGCCCATTTATAAATGACAGGAACAAAAAGCCCAAGAGATCCAACAATCGAAACCAAAAGAAAAGTCCACAGAAACATCCGATCGAGAACCTGGGCTATGAATTTCCAATCTTCAACAACCTGTTACGAAAAAAATAAAAATGCGTTAAATACTTAATTTAAAACTGTGAACATACTTTAAATATAACACACTGCGTTAAAGGCCAAATCACTTCCTGCCTCCCATTGCTGCCTTTAAACAGTAAGTGACCCTGTACTCAGGGACAGATTCTACCCTGATAGTCTATTACAAATATAGCCTCCTCAAGCTTTAAAAGACTAGAAAATTTGTTCATTTATACACCAAGTGGTTCATTTTGATAGACTGTTTAATAAAATTTAAAATACTTACACTATTTGGATATTTTATAATAAACTAAAAATATTTTTATTCTTATTATTTGTTACTTATTCTAGACTAGTACTGTTTAATTTAAGGCAGTCCATGGGGCCTGCCCAACAACAACTATTAACAAAAAAAAACCCAGCTCAGCGTCTGTAGCTCAAGCAGCTAAGGTGCCAGCCACATACAACAGAACTGGCAGGTTTGAATCCAGCCCAGGCCTGCCAGACAATGACAACTACAACCAAAAATAGCTGGGCGTTGTGGCGGGCACCTATAGTCCCAGCTACTTGGCTGAGACAAGAAAATCGCTTAAGCCCAGGAATTGGAGGTTGCTGTGAGCTGTGATGCCACAGCACTCTACCTAGGGCAACAGCTTGAGGCTCTGTATCCAAAAACAAAACAATATCTGGGTGTTGTGGCGGGCTCCTGTAGTCCCAGTTACTTGGGAGGCTGAAGCAAGAGAATTGCTTAAGCCCAAGAGTTTGAGGTTGCTGTGAGCTGTGATGCCATGGCATTATACCAAGGGCAGAATACTCTGTCTCAAAAAAAAAAAAAAAAAAAAGATTTCAGCCTAAGGTTAATTGTATGCCAAATTAAAACTAGGTTCAGAAGACCATCAGAAAGCTGTTAATCCCCCCACTCCCCACCAACCTACTTGATTTGCTTTTGGATCGCCTAAGGACCTCAGTCTATGCTTAGTCTTAGTTAAGGGTCATGCTATTTACTCTGCCACAAGTAACTAAGGTCACTTCTGAACTCAGAATCAAAGCAGATCTGCATTTGCAAATTACACACGAGTCACAGACCTCACGGACATCATTCTCCTTCATGATGTGTCGTGTAATGTAGCGAACAGAATCAAGCGCAGCTTCCAGCGTGTTTCTGGAAAATTCTGGTCCACTACCACTCTCAGTTTCCTCTTTGTGAGTGATGTACCTGTCTACATGACTTCTCATGCAGAGCAGCTTGGGAAGCTTGTGAAGAAATACCTTGCGGACCCAAGGTGCCATAGCATTGTGTGTGGAGGAAGAACGATGGTGGATGTTAATGGCAAAGACAGTTACCATAATCGATAAAGTCACAAAGATCATGGTGAACACCAGGTACTCTCCAATCAGAGGGATGACTTTTGAAGAGGATGGTATGATCTCTTCAATAACCAGAAGGAAGACAGTCAAAGAGACAAGGACTGACGTGCAGAGACAGATCTTTTCACCTTCATTTGAAGGAAGATAGAAGACGAGCACAGTTAAAAACGAGAGCCCTATACAGGGGATGATAAGGAACAGGGTATAAAAGAGAGGCAGACGCTTAATCACGAATGAGTAGGTGACATAAGGGTACCAGCAGCAGCTGTCAGTTCTGTTTCCTTTGCTCCCCGTGGCGCTCACAATTTCCCATTCTCCATTATCAAAATAATCTCTCTTGTCTACATGTTGGTCCTCTAGAATTATATCAACTTGTGAGCCATCGTAAGTCCAAGAACCAAATTTCATGGAACAGTTTTGGAGATCAAATGGGAAAAATGTGACATCTATGGTACAGGAACTTTTATAGTTTGCCGGTGGAGTCCATGTGACGGTGCCATTGTACCTGACGACTGTTTTCGTCCTGGTCCCTTCAAAACGTCCATCTGCGCTAAAATACACACACATACAATGAAGAAATTTACCCCAAATGCATTTTATAAGCCTGACATAAAAACAGGCCTACAGGCTCAGCGCCAGTGGCTCAAGCGGCTAAGACACCAGCCACATACACCTAAGGTGGCAGGTTCGAATCCAGCCCAGACCGCCAAACAACAATAATGGCTGCAACCAAAAAAAAAATAGCCGGGCGTTGTGGCGGGTGCCTGTGGTCCCAGCTACTTGGGAGGTGGAGGCAGGAGACTCGCTTGAGCCCAGGAGTTGGAGGTTGCTGTGAGCAGTGAAGCCATAGCACTCTACCCAGGGTGACAGCTTGAGGCTCTGTCTCAAAAAAAAACAGGCCTACAACTCACAGCATGAAATGATTTTAAAATTAGACTTCATGGGTGGTGCTGGCTCCATATATGGAGGGTGGAGGGTTTGAACCCAACCCTGGCCAAACTGCAACAAAAAATAGCCAGGCATTGTGACGGGCACCTGTAGTCCCAGCTACTAGGGAGGCTGAGGCAAGAGAATTGCCTAAGCCCAGGAGTTGGAGGTTGCTGTGAGCTGTGATGCCACAGCACTCTACTGAGGGCAATAAAGTAAGACTTTTGTCTCTTGAAAAAAAAAAAGGAAAACAAAAAAGATAAAATTACACTTCAGATGTAGATGCCATGACATGAGGGACCCTACTTTAGTGACCCCTTCCTTGAATATCTAACTCTACTGGAACTGAACCCCTTCTTCCATCTCTACTCCAGGACTGACGAATCTGTATTTCACAGAATCCTGAGATTCTAGTCATTATAAAGACCTCACTTTACACACCAATCAGGCTGTTTATACAGTGGGCATGCCCAGAGCCAGAATCCCTGTTCCTAGACTCCACACACAATGCCCTTCCCCTCCTCCACACTGGCCACATTCTCCCTCCATCAGAAAAGGCCATTAACACCAAGCTGGGCATGGCCCTGAAAAGCAGCTGTGCCTCTCAAACTCTCCCACCAAGTGAATTCCTAGACTGGAGAAGTCCAGCAGAAAGCCATACCGCCAACATAAGATTTTTTTGAAATACTGTTCTTTATCTTGAAATCCATGTGGCTTTTGCACACTTCGCCATAACAGTATATTCATGTTTAAGATAAAATTTTTTATCTTTTTTTTTGAGACAGAGTCTCACTTAGTTGTCCTTGGTAGAGTGCTATGGCATCACAGCTCACAGCAATCTCAAATTCTTGGGTTCAAGCGGTTCTCTTGCCTCAGCCTCCTAAGTAGCTGGGACCACAGGCGCAGGCCACAACACTTGGCTATTTTTAGAGGAGGGGTCTCACTCTGGCTCAGGCTGGTCTCGAACCTGTGAGCTCAGGCAATCCACCGGCCTCGGCCTCCCAGAGTGCTGGGATTACAGGCCTGAGCCACAGAGCCTGGCCCTAAAATTTTTTCAATTACTGAGAGTAAAATCATGTTCAAGGAAGCTGCATCACGCCACCTGACTGCCTCTGTCCATCCCTGATGTCCTGGGAAGTAAAGCTTTCAAAAGATGAAAGGCATTTTTGCACTGCACTTGCTCTTGTCCTCAGAGCAAATGCTTCTTGCAAATAAGACAATAAGACATAAATTCCCAGATTTACCCTGGAAAGGGTCTTTAAAAAATGAAAAGGGTACCCAGAATTATCCACTCCCCTGAGTTTAGAAATCATCCTCAAAACACACCTAAGTAGGATGTGCATAAAGAGGAGTTAAGAATTAATCCAACAGTCCTTCCTCATCATGGGAAAATGACAGGACAGTATTTAAACAGAAGGATACACATTTGAACATAAAATATGACTTCAACTAGCTAAAGAAACCCACCAAAAAGAAAAAAATCTGGAAGTCTGCCAAATCTGTATTCTAGCAAAGAAGAGGTGAACAGGGACGGCAGGCTGTCTTGGTGCCTACCCTGACCCTACCACGCTCAAGGTGCGTGATCTTGGGCAAGGTATAACCATGGCCCTAGGCCTCCCATTTCTTTTTTTTTTTGAGATAGAGTCTCACTGTCGCCCTCAGTAGAGTACTGTGGCATCACAGCTCACAGCAACACCCAACGCCTTAAGTGATTCTCTTGCCTCAGCCTCCCAAGTAGCTGGGACTACAGGCGCCCACCAGAATGCCCAGCTACCAATTCCCTTTTGTAATTTACATAAAGCACATAAGGCGCTTAGCACATTGCCAGGCACATAGTATGTTGACTATATGAGCTAGTAACAGTGGTTGCCCCTAAGTAATCAGATAGTGGGACTGATTATAGGTGATTTCCTCCCTACTTCCTTATGTCTTTATGTACTTCACAAATCTTCCATGAATTATGGAAATCAGAGAACACTTTTACATTCAGAACACAATGTAGGCCAGGAATAGTAGCTGACACCTGTAATCCTAGTACCCTGGGTGGCCAAGGTGGAAGGATTGCTTGAGGCCGGGAGTTCGAGACCAGCCTAAGCAAAAGCAAGACCCTTGTCTCTACAACAACTAGAGAAATTTCCCAGGCATGGTGATGCACACCTGTAGTCCCAGCTACTCAGGAGACTGGGGCAGAAGGATTACTTTAACCCAGGAGTTTGATGTCGCTGTGAGTTAGGCTGATACCACTGCACTCCAGCCAGGGTGACAAGAAGAAAGAAGATGATACACCAAAAAGGAGGAGAGAATCCACAGAATCTATTTGCTGGTTCATGAGACACAGGAATTTTTAAAGGCAAGTCATTTGATTTTATAGCTAAACAGTTTTCAAAGGGAAGAAGACTTATTAGTATCTGATAGTACTACAGGTATTTTCTTTTGATAATATAAAATGGTACTTAGAATTTAACTTACTTATCAAACAAAACGATGTCTGGTGTCCAGACAGAGTCTGAAGGGACACGGATAGCTTTAATTCCACCATAGTCATCCGGGTTCCATCTTAGTTTTACATCTATCCATTCCTTTAAAACAAAGAAATCTATCTCAATAAATAAAATGGTGATTAAATTATACTTTTTGTCATCTCTAGGAATTTTATTTATTTTTTTGAGACAGAGTCTTACTATGTCACCCTCAGTAGACTGCCATGGCATCACAGCTCACAGCAACTTCAAGCTCTTGGGCTTAAACAATTCTCTTGCCTCAGCCTCCCAAGTAGGTGGGACTATAGGCACCCACCACAACACCAAGCTATTTTTTTTGTTGTTGTGGTTGTGTCGTTTAGCAGGCCTGGGCTGGGTTCAAACCCACCAGCCTCAGTGCATGTGGCCGGTGCCATAACCACTGTGCTACAGGGATCGAACCAAATCTCTAAAAATTTTAGACATGAGAACATCTCTATTCCCAATAGAAAAAACTCACCTCTATGTCTTTCTTATGAGCAGGAGAGCATGACCCTGTCTCCTCATGCAGCTCATGTGGTGTTTCTATGGTCCTTATGAGACACAGGTGAGGACCAGAGCCCTGTGTGTGTTGGTGGCTCTGCTCAGCACCTCTCCTCTCACCAACTGGATATAGCCAGGACTTGAAGCCACAGGCATTTAATGTTCAGGTTCAGGTGAAACATTCTCTTTTCCAGATATACATATTATTACTTGATTTGACTAGACTGGCCCACACAAAGGAGAGTAGGAATTTAATGCACATTCCATATATTTAAAAACCTGTCCAACCTCCATGCAGTTACAATTCTGCAATCGTATCAAGAGTTGTCCCCCAAGAAAAGCATGCTTGCCTTTTTGGAGTTTGGGGTTAGGGAATAAGTAGTAGGTTTAAAAATTAGGAATGATAAAGAAAGAACAAACAAGCCAAAGAACTCAATAGCAATTGAGGACACATGTATGGTGGCCAAGAAGAAAAAGTTCTTTGTATAAGAAGGGCTGTGTATATGAAAATAATTCAACACATTCTTGCCCATTCCCATCTCAGAGAAGTCAAAATCCTTGCAGGGGCCTGTGAGCTGCTACTGCCTTAGCCTCCTGTTGCTTATCTGACCCCCTTTCCTGCACCCCTCCCCGTGGCTCTCTCACTTCTAGCCACACTGGCCTCCTTGCTGCTCCTCAGATATGCTAGGCACGCAGCAACCTCAGCGCTTCTGCACTTGTGGGTCCCTTTGCCTGGAACGCCCCTGCCCAGCTATCCACGAGGCTGGCGTCCTCCCCATGTCACCTTCTCAGTGCCATTTCCTCTGACCACCCTATTTCTAAGTACAGTCCCCAACATTCCTGTTCTCTTCCCCCAATGTGTTTTGCTCCCGGCTTATCAGGTACTATATACAACTAATTTCCCTCCATTAGAATGACGTTCCTTGAGGGTGGGGATTATTATCTGTTTTATTCACTGCTGTATCCCTAGTGCCCCAAACAGCGTCTGGCGCATAACAGGCACTCGGAAAACAATAGCTGAATAAATACCAGAACTTCATCTACCCTCATCTTCCTGCGTCCTGCTGCCAGTCCCCCGAGACCACACAGTCATGTCCCTTTTTTGCTACAAGCTCTGTATTAAAAATACCAGTTCCAGTCAGGTGTTGGGTACCTGTCTGAATTTTATACGTACCTGTTTCAACCAGACATTTGTTGTCATTAACTGGTTTTTCTCATCCTTTAAAAAAATGAAATAAGGTTATTTCAATGACGAAACAATAATTATTTAAATAATAATTTTCACACTTTTACACATGTACAAATATACTCCTCTGCACACAGTACTCCTGTTCTCTCCAACAATCCTATTCTCTAGAAAAGTAGGATCTGCTTTCCAGCCTAATTTCACATTGTTCCTTTCAACATACTCTGTATTTCAGATAAACGACCCTCGAGCCCACCATTGGCCTTTTTAGATGTAGCATGCATAGTCTCCTATACTTCCTCCAATGTAAGATGCAGGCTGAGATAGAAGCACAGCATCACACCAGGCGCTTAGCACTAAGGGAGAGTGAATGGCTGTCAGTGCATACAGGCTGCCATGAATTATAAGATGCACCTTAACTTCACGTTTGTTAAAACGTGAAAAAGCATGCATCGTAGAATCCACGAGATACAGTATTTCTGTGCATCCCTGAGGGACTATGTCTTGCAGTGAGAATCGGAATCTCCCTGAAGGTCTACCAAACAGAAAAGATACTGAGGTCACAGCCCCGAATGCCAACTGTATAAAGCTTTAGGGGCCTACTTTTCTAGAGAACTAGGGGTCCTTGCTACTTGTCACTTACACCTTTCTGCTGTCTCGTCTTTGTGATGCCTGTCCTTTACCAAATTCTCAAGGCCTAATTAAAGTAGCATTCCTTCCATTACATTTTACTGAAATACCATGGAGCCCACTGAAGCAGGCAAAGGTCGTCATAATCCCCAACCACAAATGTGCTATCGATATGTGTGGGATAGAAGGCTGAGCGCAGAGACCCACAGGAGTGTGAGGCAGCTGGGGAGAGAGGACCAGAGTGGAACAGCTCAGGTAACTGGAGGGTACCCTCCCCCAACGCTTCCCAACAACCAGGGACGGGCCCAGGAGAAGGGAAGAGACCAGAAGGAAACACATCCCTTATGGGCAAAGGCAGCTTTGAGAGGTCCCTCCATGGGAAGAGTGAGTCCTGGGAATACAGCAGGGCCATCTCGCTCACACTTCAGTTCCTAACAACCATTTTCCTTGGTTAAAACACTCTGGGCTATAGTTGTGTTTTACTATTCCTAACTGAGGGTAGGGGAAGGGGGAGGCAGGGTGGAAGGAGGGTAATTGGTGGGACCTCACCTATGGTGCACATCGCAAGGGTAGGTGTCAAATCTATTAAGAGTAGAGTATAAATGTCTTCACACAACAATTAACTAAGTGAGCTGAAGGCTATGTTAACCAGTTAGATGTAAGCATTCCAAATTGTATATAAAATCAGCACATTGTACCCCATAAATGCATTAATGTACACAGTTATGATTTAATAAAAAATAAAAATAAATAAAACACTAGAGCTGGGAAGGACCTAGAGATTTTATCTGTTGTAATCCCTTCATTCTGCAGATATAGAAACTGGCTCAGTGAGGCAACTTGCCTAAGGGAACACCACCAATTAGTGGTAGGAGCTTTTTGCACTCCTATTTCCTAAATCCAAACTGCAGCCCATCAGCTGTGCTGTCCCCCCTACCGTAACACACCACCCAAAGTCACCGCTGATCCCTGCGGCCTGTGAGGCAAAAGTTCTAAACAGGGGCATTTACAATTAGGCAAGTTCTCGTAAATATATTGCCCTATTCTATGATAGTTGTATGGCAGTAGGTCATCTTTGAGAATCCAATGAAAATTACAGACCCCCTCCCTAGAAAAATGTGAACACACATCAATTTTTGCTCCATAGGCTTCAATCAAGTCAATACTTCTTATGTTCAACAGTAACACAGATAAAAGAAGAATCCAGAAGTTCACACGTGACCCCAGAGATGTGGTGGCTGGCCATTACGTGAAACATGAACTCACGTAGCTCCCAAGCACCTGTAACTTGCTCAGAGCAACGGAGGATGCAAGAAAAGTGACCCTGAGTGAGGACAAATGCAGGAGGACACCGAGGAGGAGATCGCAGCTTAACGGAGAAATGTTAACTACACATTTAAGTACGCGTATAGCAGGAAAGTTTTAGGGGTAATAGTTTTATTTTAACTCTTTTATTTTATAATTTTATATTTTTTGAGACAGAGTCGCACTCTGTCACCCTGGGTAGAGAGCTGTGGCATTCCAGCGCACAGCCAACCTCAAACTCTTGGACTCAAAAATCTTGCCTCAGCCTCCCAAGTAGCTGGGACTATAGGCACCTGCCACAATGCCTGGCTAGGGTGATAGTTTTTTAAAAATAGTTTTGAAAATGAAGTCAAAACGAATAAGCCAAAACTGAGATTAAAAAGAGAAAGAGAGAGAGAGAATGAGAGAACTTGTGGGAACCAAGGCAGGGAGGTGAGAAAAACCCAAAGAAGAGCCACCGAAGGTGCTCGGGGTGGGGGGGTGGGAGACTTCAGAGATAAGAAGAACATACAAATAAAACAGCTCAGAAGCAATCCAGCAAGCTGCCTATCCTCAGGCTTCCGAGCCCTCCCCCCGACTTCCCTGACTGTGGTTCTCTCTCGCTCTCCTGATCACTGACATTTCATGTCCTGGGCTTTTCTCTGAAAAAGCAAGCTTTCCCCAACTTCTCTGTTTGGTTCGCCCCTCCTTCTACCCCTTTCTATGAAATGTTCTTCAAGGATCAGGCTCCTGTTCTCACTAAAGCTAAAAAACCATCAATTCAAAGTTTGCAAGGATCACCCCAGGCTAGCAATTCCAGACTGTCATCCCAGCTCCCTCTCTCCCCTCAGAGCCAGCCTTGACTGCCCCAGGGCCACTAAACATTTTCTATGGAATGATCACCTCAAGTCACAATGGAAACGCTCTTCACTGCCCATCCCCAAACAACTAATTTCATCTTTCACATTTCTGTTACTCTTCCATCCTAACCTCCTAGGCTTCACATGGCTGCCTTCCTCCGTATTCAGTGGTGAGTCCTGTGTGGCCTCCCAACTTGCCTCTCACACGTCTAGTCTTTTCTCACTCCTGAAAACCATCACTTACCATCTTATTGACGTGCCTAAAGCACTCCCTTTTCACCTCTGCTGCCTGTCATGCCCATTCAGCATGTACTGTATGCCAGACACGGTGCCAGGCTCGGGGACACACAAGGAGTAAAGGTGGCCCTGCTCTGAGGATGCAGCGTCGCCCCAGAGCCCCAGCCAGTGTGATGGGCACTATATTAAAGTGCCAAATGAAAAGGAGAACAGAGGGAGGCCTTAGGGAGTCTGGAAAGATTTCACAAAGGGTCTGGCAAATGAAAGTGGTCTTGAAGAATACATGGCTTGTGCCACTCAGAAAGCTCTCTGAACAGAAGAAATGTCAGAAGCAGGGCATGATGTCCTGCAAGGGTCCTCCTTACTCACAAGAGTGTAGCAGGGCCTCCAACGTTATGCTTGATCTAAACAATTCCACAAAAAAAGGCTCAGTATCATTTATGCAACTACAGGCATATTGTTCCATTTTATTAAGAAAACGTCAAACCCTACACTTCCTACAAGGCCAGCTCAAGTGCCACCTTCTCTAATAATCTCAACCATCAAGATCTGAATTCCAGGCCAGGCATGATGGCTCACACCTGTAATCCTAGCACTCTGGGAAGCCAAAGCAAGGTTGCCTAAGTAAGAGCAAGACCCCGTCTCTACAGAAAAGTCAAATACAGAAAAATCAGCCAGGCATTGTAGTGGGTACCTGTTGTCCCAGGTACTTGGGAGGCCGAGGCATGAGGATCACTTGAGCCCAAGAGTTTGAGGTTGCTATGACAATGCCACAGCACTCTACTCAGGGCAATAGAGTGAGACTCTGTCCCCCTACCCACCAAGAAAAGATCTGAATTCCCAGCTCTGGCATCACAGTTTAGTGCTACTGTGGTCTGTCTCATACCCTCAATTATTAATAGAAAGATCTTTGAGAGCAAGCCCACTTTCCTTCCTCCCTCCTCCTCTCCCTCCTTTTTCGGAAGAGCAAGGGTCTTGCTCTTTCTCAGGTTGGTCTTAAAGTCCTGAGCTCAGGCAGTCCATCTGCCTTGGCGATTACAGGCGTAAGCCACCTGCCTAGTCTTGCTTTCTACTTCCTTATTTTTATTTATATTTGCAATCTCCCCATATTGCCTAGCCAAGGGCTGAACACACAGTCCATATATATTCACTGACCTTTCTGGAAGCAATTAAGTGACATACACATCTATCAACAGATTTTTTTTAAATGTATATATCCTTCACTAACTTTTTCTTAAGGAGAAATTCAGACATTTGTATACAAATATATTCACCATTGCCAGCTATAATAAAAATTTAGACCATGCTTCTGCCAACAATAGGATAATGTTTAAATAAATCATAAATGTAATATTATGTACCCATTAAAAATTGTATTTGAAGATCATGTAATGACATAAGAAAATGTTCATCATGTAAAGAAAGGGAAAAAGAGAGATAATCAAAACCGTATCTAAAATAGTATTCCAATTCTAACATATACACAAAGAAAAAACTGGCAAGGAGCACAACCAATTACTAACTTTAGTTGTCTCCAGGTGGCAGTATAACAAGTCAATTTTCTTACACACATATATATACTGAGAAAGTCTTAAGCTGTCGCTCTGGGTAGAGTGCCGTGGCGTCATAGCTCACAGCAACCTCCAACTCAGGCTCAAGCAATCCTCTTGCCTCAAGTTTTTCTAATTTTAGTAGAGACGAGGTCTTGCTTTTGCTTAGGCTGGTCTTGAACTCGTGAGCTCAAGCAATCCACCTGCCTCAGAGGGCTAGGATTACAGGCATGAGCCACTGCACCCGGCCTACTTGTATTTTTTGTACTTTCCAAATTCTCTATAAAAGTCATGCACTGTTTCTATGATCAGAACATAAAGGTGAACTTATGTTATTTTAAAACGTGCTACATATACGCAATTACTCTGGGAACACAGCAGGGAAAAACTGATAGACATGATCAAACAAGAAGAAATAAACTAATAAAAAATTAGTATGAACTTTTTAGTTGAAATGGAAAGGATCTCTTGACAATAAAAACGAATTATCAAGGGAACTTACTCTCCTTGATGAAAGTCACACTGAAAAATCTCTGAGATGTTTTAATGATACTGAGATATTGACCTACTGAGATACTTTTTGGTCTTAAGAATCTAAAACTCTACTTTTGGACTTTTTCCCTAAACTTTTTGATCATATTTTTAACATATTTAAAGAGAAACCTCAATATAAAATGTTTTACTATCTATGAATATGTTAAAAAACAGACTACTTGTAATTACCAAATAAGATAAAACAATTTCTAAGTCATAAATATAAACACAGTGTACTATGATGTTTGTGGCATAATAATTGTTTTTCCCTGGTGAGTTCCTTTAGGAAAAGGACTGTGTCTCCTTCTCCTTTGTAATCCTTGGTGCCTAACACAGTGCTGGGCACACAACAGGCGCTCACTAAGTCTGTGGGAAATAGTATATAACAACATGCACACCTACCACATCCACTAATTGAGATATTGCAAGGCCAAACTTTATTTTTATTTTGTCATTCAGGTGCTCCACAGGACGAACCCATCTCTCGTAGTCTTGAAATAAATCCTTAAACAAACTATCTTCATGTTTTGCAGTAAAGGATGGTTCAGATAACCCTGTATAACAAATTTTTAGAAGTTAGTATATTGACCTCTCTCCCACCAAATATCTTTTTTTTTTTTTCAGACAGAGCCTCAAGCTGTCGCCCTGGGTAGAATGCCATGGCATCACGGCTCACAGCAACATCCAACTCCCGGGCTCAAGCGAGTCTCCTGCCTCCACCTCCAAGTAGCTGGGACCACAGGTGCTCGCCACAACGCCTGGCTATTTTTTGGTTGCAGCTATCATTGTTGTTTGGTGGCCTGGGCTGGATTTGAACCCGCCACCTTAGGTATATGTGGCTGGTGCCTTAGCCACTTGAACCACAGGCGCTGAGCCCCAAATATCTTATTTTAAAACAAAGTTTGGCATTATTAATAAGCTAAACAATAATTTAAGCCGTTATTGATGTAGCTTTTAATGAAATATTAATACAAGACTATCAACCAATGAATGGATTAAAAACTGTGGTATATGTACACCATGGACTACTATTCAGCCATAAGGAAAGATGGAGACTTTGCATCTTTTGTGTTTACCTGGATGGAGCTAAAACACATTCTTCTTAGTAAAGTATCACAAGAATGGAAAAGCAAGTACCCAGTGTACTCAATACTAATATGAAACCAATATATAAACAACTACAAGCCCATAGGAAAGAAAAACACAAGCATAGTCTATCGAGGGGAGGAGGAGGGAGAAGGGAGAAGGGAGACGGAAGGAGAGCAAGTGATTGGCGGGACCTCACCTAATGTGCACAATGTGAGGGTGTTCAGCACACCCCCCCCAGGTGAAGGGCTCAACTACAACTTGAACTTTACCTTAGAAATGAAAGCAGGCTCGGTACCTGTGGCTCAAGCGGCTAAGGCGCCAGCCACATACACCTAAGGTGGCGGGTTTGAATCCAGCCCGGACCCGCCAAACAACAATGACGGCAACCAAAAAATAGCAGGGCATTGTGACGGGCGCCTGTGGTCCCAGCTACTTGGGAGGTGGAGGCAGGAGACTCGCTTGAGCCCAAGAGTTGGAGGTTGCTGTGAGCAGTGAAGCCATAGCACTCTACCCAGGGGGACAACTTGAGGCTCTGTCTCAAAAAAAAAAAAGAAATGAAAGCAATGTAACCTAAATATTTGTACTTTCATATTAATGTAAATTTTTTTAAAAAGAAATATTAATACAAGTATTTTTGATCAAATAAGGGACACTCTGGCTCAGACATAATTCTTGTTTAAAACAGATTGTTCACTATGGAAGTATACTGAGTTCCTTAAGAAACACTCAGTAGTTAATACAGAATAAGTTAAATCTAAGAAATAAAGGCTTTTCAATTGCCAGGACTGGGGTGGTGCTTGTCAAGAAATTCCAAACCTAGAAAACAGATACTGGGTATCTATGGTGGTGCCTATGGCTCAGTGGGTAGGGTGCCAGCCCCATATATCAAGGTGGCAGGTTCAAACCCGGCCCTGGCCAAACTGCAACAAAAAGTAGCCAGGCAATGTGGCGAGTGCCTATAGTCCCAGCTACTGGGGAGGCTGAGACAAGAGAATGGCCTAAGCCCAGGAGTTGGAAGTTGTGAGCTGTGACGCCACGGCAGTCTACCAAGGGTGATAAAATGAGAGTCTGTCTCTAAAAAAAAGAAAAGAAAAGAGAAGAAAACAGATACACAGAAGCAAAGTTCATTTATCAGTTATAAATGCAAAATAACCATGCTTTAATTTAAATAATTTTAATACACAAATATATAAACATTGAACGAAGTATTTGGCTTTGTCATACCTCTGTCTATGACTCCTTTGTATAAAACTACTTGTAGGGAATGAGGAAGGAGGAACTCAGAGAGTGTGCGGCCCTGGAAGCCAAAAGAAGAAAATGTCCAAGAAGGACTGAGCATTGCAGCCTCGGAAGGTGCCTTGTAAGAGGCGGCCGAGACCTGGGCACTGGATGAACACCGAGGTCAGCGGTGTTTGACAAGAGCCATGTACATGGAGAGATGAAGCACGTTTATGGAAGTAGGTTTAACACAATGCAAAGGCAGGAGGCATCTCTTTCAAAAGGTTATGCTGATACATGGAATAAAAAAATGAAACAGTGGCTGGCAGAGAAGAGAGTCCGAAAAGGTTTATTTCAAAAACAGTGATCAAAGAACATGTCTTTGCCTGACTGTGAACAAGACTGGCTACATAATTCACAGGACCTGATGGAAAGTGGACGCGAGGGATTCCTTGTCCAAAAATCCAGGAAAAGGTATCATTAAATATACTGAGATAAAACTTTTTCCTGTCTTCAAAAAGAAGCTTCAAAAAGAAGCCAGCCAGCACAGATCGCTGCCACGGCTACACAACCTGCTTACCCATAATGTCACCACCTGACACAGGAACCACTAACATTGTACAGAGCCTGCTGGGAAACAGAGGCCCCAAGAGACTCGTGTGCAATTTAAATTTAAATGGACCTTTACGGACACCCTGTATAAAGAACTATTACACCCAAACTTTGGAATATTTAAAGAAAAAAGATTACAAATCAATAGCAAAAGACCCAACCCAATTTTAAAATGGGCAAGAGACTTGAAGTGGTAATTCTCCAAAGAATAGTGGCCAGTGAGTTTGTGAAAACATGCTCAGCACCTTTGGGTGTACAACCATTAGGAAAATGCCAATCAAAACCACAGTGAGCCGCCACTCACGCCCAGCAGGGTGGCCAGAACCAAGAAGACAGGGACAGCGTTAGTGAGACCTCACACTCTGCGGCAGGAACGTAAGATGGCGTAGCTGCTCAGGTAAACCATCTGGCAGGTCCATTGCCAGTTCTGGTCCAGGTCCCCGAAATTCAAAAAGGCAAAAATAAAATGCTCTTCTCCACCCTTTGCCGTGACATCACATCAAATCCCTTCCCTGAAGTATGGGCATAGAACTACCTAGCTTGAGCAGCTATCATGAAGGGTCAAAGGGTAAAGAGATGCCAGGGACCATCTAAAAGGGGCATTGGTGTTCCAAAAGTATAATTCTGGCACACTGATATCTTATTCTCAACTAAAAATCACCCTATCTTGTCCTCAATGAACTATACTACTCAAGGACATCTGAAATCAGAAAAGTTAGGTTTAATGGCATTATCAGTGAGGGAACATTTCCTTCGAGCCCTGTGATTTTAAGAACTCAGTAGGGTGCTGAGCCACATACACAGAGGCTGGCGGGTTCAGTCCAGCCCAGGCCTGCTACACAACAATGATGACTGCAACCAAAAAATAGCAGGGTGTTGTGGCAAGCACCTGTAGTCCCAGCTACTTGGGAGGCTGAGGCAGGAGAATCCCTTAAGCCCAAGAGTTTGAGGTTGCTGTGAGCTGTGATGCCACAGCACTCTACCCAGGGTGACATAATGAGACTCTATCTCAAGAAAAAACAAAACAAGACAAACAAAAAAAAAAAAAACTCATGTTCTTCTTGAGAGCCAGGAAATCTCAATGTGGAAAAGCAAGATCATATACCCAGTGCCCATTTCTTCATTTGAGCTGAAAGACAAGCTTGGTGCCTGTGACTTGATCTTATTCACAATTTTTTACCATATCTATCTTTCAACAGTGAACCAAGATCACATACTGTCTCCCACCAACTCACCTCTGTGCACAGAAGTGAGGGCACTGGCACTCACCCTTCCCCACTGCCCATGGAGCGGGTGCTCTGGCAGAATTGTTCTCAATGTACTTTTTCCTATCTACCAGATCACAAAATAATCCTAACTGAAATTCAGATCTCTTCTTCTCTAATGTGGAGTTCTCAGTGATAAAAGTACAATGCTACAGGCACACCTGCATATGCATCTCACACACGTCAAAAGGCACATCTTACGTTAGCAGTTTCGTCTAACCACAAGCAAAATACCAGAACGGGCACAGGGCATTAGCATCTAACAATGCCATAAATTAATAATGAAACAATTCTGTTAAGTCTCTTCTGCTTTCTCTTTAAGCAGAATCATGTATGCCTGGTTTCACAAGCCTCTTATCAAGAGCATGCCTTAAAACCATTTTTGCTACAGAGAATACATTCTGAATGAAGTAACTGGGCTCTTTTTCTCTTCTCTGCCTTTAGCAACAAAATGCAACAATTTCATATCAAGTGTTACAGTTACTGTAGGAAAAAAATAGTTTACCAGAGGAGCTACTGTCCTTTGTTTGGAAACCACACAAATGCTATTTAGTAATGCTTTACTTGACAAAGTCTCCAAATAAAATAACTCTTGAAGTAATGGGGAACAGATTACTGATAGGTTAAAATTTGATTTTTAGATATTCTTCCCCTTTCTGCTTTCCTTGTTTGGGTAATATATCTAAAATCATTTTATTTGCAGATTCAGCACATAGAGAAATTTGTTTTATGTTACCCATTTATTATAAAGGATATGGATGAAAAACATAGCACGAGGTATGGGAAAGGGTGGGAGTTTCTGTGCCCTCCCAGGGTGCACCACCTGCCAGGAACCTCCCTGTGCTCAGCTACCTGTCATTTTGGGGGTTTTTTTGCAGTTTTTGGCTGAGGCTGGGTTTGAACCCACCACCTCTGGCATATGGGGCTGTGCCCTACTCCTTTGAGCCACAGGCACCACCCTATTTTTTTGAGACAGAGTCTCACTATGTTGCCCTCAGTAGAGCGCCACAGCTCACAGCAACCTCACACTCTTGGGCTTAAGCAATTCTCTTGCCTCACCCTCCCAAGTAGCTCAGACCACAGGTCCCCGCCACAACGCTCGGCCATTTTTTTGTTGTAGCAGACATTGTTGTTTAGCAGGCCCTGGGCTGGGCTTAAACCCACCAGCCCTGGTGTATGTGGCTGGCACCCTAACCACTGAGCTACTGGTGCCAAGCCGTCATTTTGGGTTTTTATGGAGACTTCATTACATAGGCATGACTGATTAAACCATTTGCAGCTGGTGATCAACTTAACCTTAAGCCACTCTCTCAACCTTAAGGTTGGTGGGTGGGACGTCTTTCCAGTGACCTGTCCCCATCCTGAAGTTA